ACAGGCGCCCACCATCACGCACAGATAATTTTTTGTATTTTTAGTAGAGATGGAGTTTCTCCATGTCGGCCAGGCTGGTCTCAAACTCTTGACCTCAAGGGATCCACCCATCTCAGTCTCTCAAAGTGATGGGATTACAGGCACGAGGTGATTTATTTTTAACTAGCTTCCTAGGTCATCTTGATTATAGGTAGATTTATATAAAGCACTACAAAAAAATATATGATCTTATTATGTAGGTACCCTAGGCCTCACCTCCTACCAGAATTCATGCAATGGTGCCACTTGTTTGCAAGCTAAAAGTGTCATCCATTATTCTTAAACAATTACATTGGTTTGGACTTTGGAACTCAGAGCAGCAGTAAATTCCCCAGATGTACTTTCTCCTCTCTGTCGATGGAATTCTAAAAACACGAACAAGGACACAGACTGTGTTGCTATGTGTGGTCTACAGGGAGGGAAGTAAAATGGTTTGACTTCTACATAATTTGTTTTTAAAACAGCATTGGATAGAATTCCATCCAACTTACCAGAGCAGAACATTCCATAAATTGAGACTTTTTCCTGTAGGAGTCTGATGCTAGAACATGCACAGGGCAGCTGCTGACCTCAGCAGGTTGTGCACAAAGCAGCTGCTGAACAGGCAAACGTGCACACTTTTACTCACAACCATGAAGACCACTAAATGTTAGGGCCAGGTATAACTTTAGAGAAGATCGACCTCCAGCTTCCTTCTTAGGGGTCAGAAAACCAGGGTCCACACATAAAGGCTGACTCATTCACAGCCCAGGTAGTCAAAGATTTGAGATGAGAATCTAGCAAACCAGAATCCCAGTTCAGTGTTCTTTCTACCACACCTTAAATTATATACCCTCCTTAAAATCTCCCTGCAAACAAAGCTGGCCTCAGAGCCTGGGGCAGGATTAGGTCTGCAGTGGGTATTCTTCATAATAAAAAGCACCTGAGTTTGTAGTCTGGTAGTGTGACTCTGAGCAAGTTACTTCACCTCCCTTTGCCCCAGTCTCCTCATCTGAAAGATGTCATTAATAACAGCTACATCACAATATTGTTATGAAGATAGATAGGAGGAAAAAATAAATAAATGTTAGATATGTTGTCTGGAACATAATAAAACCTCATTAATGATAGCAATTGTGATTATTACTACAGATAAGTTCAAGGACAGGAAGTGAGAAAAGTTCACTAAACAAAGTCTGCAGTATGGGCTCCATTTAAAATTGGATTGTGGAACCAGGTTCCTATCTTGCAGATGGCTATCTAAGTGGTATGAACATCTCAGTAACCCACAGACAGTTTTCCTAACTTCACTGAAAAGGAAGGCACAGAGGGGCTCTTCCTACTAGAGATAGTCATTAAGAACTAGCCCTGGGGCCAGGCCTGTTGGCTCACATTTGTAATCCCAGCACTTTGGGACGCCAAGGTGGGAGGACTGCTTGAGCTCAGGAGTTCAAGACCAACCTGGACAAAATAGTGAGACCTCATCTCCAAAAACATAATAAAATAAAATAAAATAAAATAAATAAGAAGAAGAAGTAAAAAACAACTAGTCCTGGGTGTCAAGGCTTCCAAGAGAAATGTTTTGGGGGATTTTTAAACAACCCAAAATGCAGCACCATGTGGTTCCTATTTCAGCCTATTTACAATGCCCCGTGTATCGGCCCCCATGCCCATTAAGTAGAGGCTACCTTTATGTGCTCATCACAGTAAGGCCTGGCCAAAGGAGAGAGGTACAGGATTCTTTCAAGGCCTGGGTGGAGGTAAACAGACTCAATGAGAGTTTCCTCTATGGGAAACAAGAGAAGGCCTGGATGGAAATAAACAGATTCCATGTGAGTTTCCTCCATGGGAAAAAGAAAAGCTGGCCCAGGTATAAGTAGTGTTAATCAGTCATGCACTTCAGAACAGGTTATCAGCACCAGGCCAGGAAAAGCAGAAACAGAAGACTATTCACTCCTATGACCTTTGAAGAGGTATCAAGCATTTAAAGAACTGAGACACTCACTAGAGGAGAGAGGGTGGTGATAAAAAGAAAGAAAAAACAGGAGTACTTAACATGAGAATAGTTACCTGAGACAAGGTTATCAACAGAAACAAAGTAATCACAAAACTGGACGTTTGCTCCATCCATTCTACATGCCAGTAAGTGGACATCTGCTCCGTCCACTCTACATGCTAGTAAGTGGACATCTGCTCCATCCATCCCACGTTAGTAAGTGGACATCTGCTCCATCCATCCCACGTTAGTAAGTGGACATCTGCTCCATCCATCCCACGTTAGTAAGTGGACATCTGCTCCATCCACTCTACATGCCAGTAAGTGGACATCTGCTCCATCCATCCCAGATGCTAGTAAGTGGACATCTGCTCCATCCACTCTACATGCCAGTAAGTGGACATCTGCTCCATCCATCCCACATGCTAGTAAGTGGACATCTGCTCCATCCATCCCACATGCTAGTAAGTGGACATCTGCTCCATCCACTCCACATGCTAGTAAGTGGACATCTGCTCCGCCCATCCCACATGCTAGTAAGTGGACATCTGCTCCATCCATTCCACATGCTAGTAAGTGGACATCTGCTCCATTCACTCCACATGCTAGTAAGTGGACATCTGCTCCATCCACTCCACATGTTAGTAAGTGGACATCTGCTCCATTCACTCCACATGCTAGTAAGTGGACATCTGCTCCATCCACTCTACATGCTAGTCAGTGGACACCTGCTCCATCCCCTCTACATGCTAGTAAGTGGACATCTGCTCCCTCCATCCCACATGCCAGTTAGTGTACATCTTCTCTATCCACTCTACATGCCAGTAAGTGGACATCTGCTCTGTCCATCCCACATGCTAGTAAGTGGACGTCTGCTCCGTCCACTCTACATGCTAGTAAGTCCAGTCCTAGAATGTCACAGACTCTTCAGTTGAAAGAAAACTTAAAATTTTGTCTAGTCCAACCTTCTACCCAACAATCTAACTTCATTTACAACTTCCCCGAAATAATCGCCCAGAGACAATTACCTGCAGTGACAGGGAGCTCTGCGCTCAGTATTCTAATACAGGAGACCACTAATTCTTTGAAGGTTTTTACATTTACCAAACACCCTTCCCTTATGGCACTTTCATCTATTGGTCCCAGTTGTAGTCTCCAGAATATTACAAAATAAATGGAATCCCTTTTTCTTACACTGCCTTTGGCACAGAGACAGCTCTGAGCACTTCGAACTGCCACAAGAGGAGGCTGAATGAACAGCTACAGGCCTTAAAGGGAAAACAAGGACTCCAGAGCAGGCAAATATAAATGATACAATCAGAAAACAAAGGGAGAGGCTTAATGCTGTTATCAGCACTGCCTCTGCTGCACGTAGCCTCCATCCCCAGACAAACACAATGTGAAGGACAGAGCCTTTTGTGTCCCTTTCTACTTGACTTCAAGAACATCTTTAAAGAAAACATGTTCTAAATGTACAAGTAAGTTAATTACTGTAAACGAGGCTCTAGACAAGAGTCAGAAGAGGGCCCTCATCATGTTTCAAATAATAAAAGACAGTTAAAAATCATTTTCAGTTGTTAGTATTTAGCTTAGACATAATACAGTGATAGGAAGAAAGAGAAGGAGGATTTTATGGCAACAGAGGAATAAGCAGAGAAAACTGCTTTCTAGACAACAGTTAAGTCTTGTTGCAAGGCTGATACTCAGTGTATACAGGGGGTAAAATCTCTCTGAATAAAAAACCAAACAGACCCTGGTCAGTGGCACTGGCTCACATGCCTGTAATCCCAATACTTTGGGAGGCCAAGGTGGGAGGATCACTTGAGCCCAGGAGTTTGAGATCAGCCTGGGCAGCATAGTGAGACCTCATCTCTACTGAAAAACAAACAAAAACACAAACCTAGAAGGATGCACAGCATCCAGATCACAGCAGAAGGGGCCCTTAAGGATTCAATTCCATCACTGTCTAGACTGAGAAACCTAAACAGGAGTCACCTAAGGTTGCCAGGTAAGCGGCAGAGCTAGAACAAAATGTCCTGATTCCCCAATCTCTGTTCTGCCCATTGCACCATGATGCTATCTTCAGCAAAATTCAAATAACTGCAAAACATCCATCCAAATAAGCAATCCCAAATCTGACAAGTTACAGAAAAAATAAAGTAAAGGTCTTTATACTCTTCAAGTTAATGTTAGGACTCTCCACAACCTCGGCTCAGCCACCTAACCTCCCAGGAGCACACTCCGATTAATATTTCATATTTTGGTGTGACTTACACAGAATGCAGGACGGTTAGAAACCAAACCTACAGAAGGATGAGTTTGCAGAAAAATAATGAACAAACAGGGAACCACACCCAGAGCCAATCCAACCCCAGCGGTGGAAAATGCAGACAGCTAAAAAGGGAGAGGACTAACAAGAGAAAGGGACAGAAAGGAGTGCCTTTTCATATGTCAAGTTTCCCGCAGGAGGCAGCGTGGTGAAAAGCAAACAGCTGCTGAAGCTTAGGAACGTTTGCATTCTAATCGCGGGTCTCCGATTAACTCTCTGGATGACCTTAGGCAAGCCCTTACCCCTTCCTGGAGTAAAGGCTCAGTTTCTCCAACTGTCCTAGGAGGGAGCTGCACCAGACGACTTCCCAGGGTCCTTGCAGTTCTGACCCAAAGACCCATTATTAGCCTGTCCCAAGCAGGGCTCCCGCAGCGGGCAAGACATTTACTGGAAACAGCTGGGGCCCTTTGCGAAGCGTGAAAGACGCCCCAGATGGTCGTTTGGGTTGTCTTCACCATCTACCCCAGTTTCCCCCACCTGTCAGTCAAACAGGACGGTGAGATCCCAACCTCACGAGGTCAAGGGAGATAGCGCGAGGGACAAGGGATCTCCACAATTCGCCCAATTCACAGAGGGGTGCCAGCGTCGTACCGCAGCCGCGGCCCGGGGACACCGAGGAGTCGCGGACCCGCAGCCCGGGCGGGTCCAGTGCCTGACCTGGAGCATCTGCCACGCCGGGAGGAAGGCGAGGTGGGTCCTGCCCAAGGCGGCTAGCGCCGCCAGCCGGAGCTCGTCAGTGGAGGAACTCACTGCTCGGGTTCCGGCCCCAGCTCAGGCTCCGGCTCTGGCTTCAGCACAGCCCACCCTTCCCGGCTTCAGTGTCAGCCCCTAGCCATCCTCCTTTGCTGCCCGGGCAGCCGCTTCCGGGCCTCGTCACGTGATCCCACCGCCCACGCCAGAGGCCTAGGTCACGTGCTCCCTTGCGCGGCCGCACCTTTTTTTCTCACTGAGCTCCGGAGCTCTGCTCCACAGCACCACCTGGCGACCTATTGCTGCAACTGCTGGGAGGACTATGTTCCGGCCAGCTGGGGACTGCAAGTAGGAACTGAACGCGGCATTGATCTTGGGCATGGGACAGAGTCCAGTCGAAGAGCACTGTCCCTTGAGTTGTGGGTTTGTGAAATATTGCTAATTTTTACACTGGCTGTATTTTCTTTTACACATCTCGATGAGTTTGTATTGCTTTTATAATAAGAAATATGCATTTTTTTAAAAAAAAATCTTCCAGTCAATTTTTCAGAAGCATACGCAAACTCTCATCTGTGGTTGCTACTGGAAATGGAACTGTGGGGTAGGGCAACGTTATCTTTTAATACATTAAAATTTTTAAAGTAACATTTTTAAATGGATGGCAACATTTTAGTATCGTATTATCTAGGCTTCTCCTTTTACCTCCTTGTTACAGATTTTTCCTTTAACAATTATGTAACAAATAGGCTTCAAGTCAAAAACTGTCACAAGAGACAGAGAAGATCATTGTTTAATGATAAAGGGGTCAATTCATCAAGAAGACACAATTGTAAATATATATGCATGCAAAATTGGAGCACCTAAATACATACAACTAATATTAATGGCCATTAAGGGAGAAATAGATAGCAACACAATAGTAGGAAAGTCAGTATCCCACTTTCAACAATGGATAAAGCAACTAGAGAGAAAATAAGAAAATAATGAACTTGAATTGCACTTTAAACCAAATGAACCTAACAGATATATACAGAACTTTCCATCCAACAGAAACAAAATGCACATTTTTTCTCTGACACACTTGGAACTTCTCTAGAATAGACCATATGCTAGTCCAAAAAACAAGCCTTAAATTTAAGAAGATTGAAATCATATTAATATTCTTTCAGATCATAATAATATGAAGCTAGAAATCAATGTGAGGAATCTTGGAAAATTCACAAATATGTGGAAACTAAGCAACACGCTGCTTCTTTTTTTTTTTCTTTGAGATGAAGTTGCACTCTTGTTTCCCTGTCTGGAGTGCAATGGTGCAATCTTGGCTCACTGCAACCTCTGCCTTCTGGATTCAAGCAATTCTCCTGTCTCAGCCTCCCAAGTAGCTGGGATTACAGGCATGTGCCACCATGCCCTACTAATTTTGTATTTTTAGTAGAGACAAGGTTTCACCATGTTGGTCAGGCTGGTCTCAAACTCCTGACCTCAGGTGATCTGCCCACCTCGGCCTCCCAAAGTTCTGGGATTATAGGTGTGAGCCACCGCACCTGGTCCCATGCTTCTAAACAACCAATGGGTCAAAAATGAAATCAAAAGGGAAATTTTAAAAATATTTTCAGACAATTGACAATGGAAACATAACATACCAAAGCTTATGGAATGCAGCAAAAGTAGTTCTAAGAGAGAAGTTTATAGCAATAAATGCCTACATTAAAAAAGAAGAAAGATAGCAATTAAATAGTTTAACATTACACCTCAGGAAACTGGAAAAAGAAGAGCTCACAAAACCCAAAGTTAAATGAAGAAATAAAGAGCAGAACAGAAATAAATAGACAACAGAAAAAAAAAAAAAACAGACAAAATCAATAAAACTAGAGTTGATTTTTTGGAAAAAATAAAATTGACATATCCTTTGCTAGTCTAAGAAAAAAAGAAGACTCTAATAAAATTAAAAAATGAATGTGGAGACACTACAACAGATGCTTCAGCAATAAAAAGAATCATATGGGGCTATTATGACAATTATTTGCCAACAAATTGGATGACCCAGAGGAAATGGAGAAATCCCTAGAAAAATACAACCTACCAAGATTGAAATCAAGAAGAAATGGAAAGCCTGAACAGACTAATAACAAATAAAGAGATAATAACAAATATTGAAGATGAGACAGGGACTATTTGACTTTCTAGTTTTCTGTTTAAACTTCCCAACAAGACCAGGTGGCTTCACAGCTGACTTCTACCAAACATTCAAAGAAGAATGTTTGTTACTAAACTCTTCCAAAAAATGGAGCTAGAGGGAATACTTCTAGACACATTTTATGAGGCCAGCATCACCTTGATACCTAAGCCAGAGAAAGACACCACAAGAAAAGAAAATTACAGGTTGATTTCACTAAAGCACGTTGATACAAAAATCCTCGATAAAATATTTGCAAATAGAATTCAACAGCAATCAAAAAAATTATATATCATAACCAAGTGGGATTTATCCCTGGCATGCAAGGCTAGTTTAACATACACTAATCAAGCAATATAATACATCATATTAACTGAATGAAAAATGAAAACCACAAGGTTATCTCAATTGACCTGGTAACAGCATTTGACAAAGTCCAACGTCCTTTCCTTCCCTAACCCCCACCCCAACATACCTTCTTGATAAAAAAAATAAAAAATAAAACTCTCAATAGTTTAGGTATAGAAAGAACATTCCTCAACATAATAAGGTCATTTATGAAAAACGCACAGTTAACAGTTTAATTGATGGGGAAAAACTGAAAGCTTTTCCACCAAGATCCAGTACCAGGCAAGGATACCCACCCTCACCACTTCTATTCAACATAGTACTAGAAGTACTAGCAAGAGTAATCAGTCAAAAGAGCAAAAGAAAGAAAGGCATCCAAATCAGAAAGAAAAAAGTAAAATTATCTTTATCTGCAGATGACATGATCCTGTATGTAGAAAACCTCAAAGAATAAAAAAAATACTGTTAAATTAATGAATTTAGTAAATTTCCAGAACATAAAAATCAACATACATGACTGGGCACAGTGGCTCGTATCTGTAATCCCAGCACTTTGGGAGGCCAGGGCAGTGGGTCACCTGAGGTCAGGAGTTCAAGACCAGCCTGGCCAACATGGTGAAACCCTGTCTCTACCAAAAATACAAAAGTTAGCCTGGCATGGTGGTGCATGCCTGTAGTCCCAGCTACTCAAAAGGGTGAGGCAGGAGAATCATCTGAACTTGGGAGGCGGAGGTTGCAGTGACCTGAGATTGCGCCACTCCAGCCTGGGTGACAGAGTGAGACTCCATCTCAAAAAAAAAAATTATAAAAATCAATAATATTTTTATACATAAATAATTACCAACCTAAAAAAGAAATTAAGAGAAAGATTTTATTTGTGATAGCATTAAAAAATACCTGATAATTTAACCAAGGACATGAATAGTGTGTACACTGAAAACTATAAAACAATGATTAAATAAATTGAAGAAGACACAAATAAATGAAAAGATACCCCATGCACATGGAACAGAACAATTAACATTGTGAAAATGTCCATATTACCCAAAGCAATATACAGATTCAATGCAATCCCTATCAAAATCCCAATCGCATTCTTTACTGAGATATAAGAAACCTAAAATTTGCATGAGAACACAAAAGACCCTGAATAGTCAAGACAATTCTGAGAAAGAAAAACAAACTGGATGCATCACACTTCCCGATCCAAAACTGTATTGCAAAGATATAGTAATCCAAACAGTATAGTACTGGCACAAAAACAGATACGATAGACCAATGGAACACAATAGAGAGCCCAGAAATAAATTCAAACATATATGGTCAACTAATTTTAAAGAATGGCATCAAGAGAACACAGTGGGGAAAAGACAGTGTCTTCAATAAATGGTGCTAAGAATACTGACTTTTATGTGAGAAAGAATGAAATTGGATGTTTATCTTAACACTGCACAAAAGTCAACTCAAAGTGGATAAAAGACCTAAATGTAAGATCTGAAACTACAAAACTCCTAGAAGAGAACGTAGGGGAAAAGCTCCTGGACATTGGCCTTGGCAATGATTTTTTTGGATATCAGACCAAAAGATCAGATTACAAAAACAAAAATAAATAAATAAGACTACATCAAACTAAGAAGCTTCTGCACAGCAAAGGAAGCAATCAACAAAGTGTAACGGCAGCTTATGAATTGAAAAACATATGCAAACCCTATGTCTAATAAGGGCTTAATATCCAAAATTTATCAAAAACTCATATAACTCAGCAAAAGAAAAACAACCCAATTTAAAAATGGGCAAAGGACCTGAATAAACATTTCTCCAAAGAAGAAATAAAATGCTCAGCGAGTATATGAAAAAGTGTTCAACGTCATTAATCATCAAGGAGATGCAAATCAAAACCATTATTAGATACCAACTCATACGTGTTAGGTTGGCTATTATCAAAAAGTCAAAAGACAACAAATATTGGTGAGGATGTCGAGAAAAGGGAATTCTAGTACACTCTTGGTGAGATAGAAAACACTATAAAGGTTTCTAAAGAAGTTAAAAATAAAACTACCACATGACCCAGCAATCCCCTTTCTGGGCAAATACTCAAAGGAAATGAAATCATCACCCCATAAAGATATCTGCACCTCCATATTCATTGTAGCTTTATTCACAATAGCCAAGATATAGAAACAATCTAAGTGTCTGCTGACAGCAGAATGAATAAAGAAACTGTGGTATATATACAAACATTTTTCTAAAAAAAGAAGGGAGTCCTGACATTTGCCACAACATGGATGAAACTGTAGGACATTATGCTAAGTGAAATAAACCAGACAGAGAAAGAAAAAATATTGCATGATCTCATTTATATGTGGAATACATTTTATATCTCATTTATATGTGGAATCTCATTTATATGTCAAATACACAGAGATAGGGAATCAAACAGTGGTGACCAGGGCCCAGGAGGGTTGGAGGAAGGAAATGGAGAAGTGCAGCTGAGAGGATACAGAGTAGCAGATATGTAGGATCCCCAAGTCTAGAGATCAAAGGGACAACATGAGGACTATAGGTTATACAATTGTACTGTACAAAGAGCACAACAGAGGTTGCTAGTAGCTGAGCAGGTGGAGGGAAAGGATAGGGAGAGATTTGTTAAAGGATACAAAATTAC